GGAGGTAATGGGAGCTGCGACCTTGCCAAAGCCCCGGATAAACCTCTGATAGTAGCTGCTGCATATGATATGCCCTGGATAGCCCTGACTTTGGCCACCTCATTCTCTTTCACCCTTGTGTGGCATTCGAAAGACGTGGCTTCATGGTTCCCACCACAATTGCGACATGTCACATTTTCATCACTTTTATAACACATAATATGATCTTTTCCACAACTTGGACATCTCGGCTTCTCCCTTCTGCAAACACTTGAAACATGACCAAAAGCTCTGACTCTGTAGTTAATATACCCTAACTGCACTTGAGTAGGGAGAGACTCCATATCAAAAAACAAAAGAACAGATAGACTCTTCACTTTTTCTTCATTCACCACACGATTCATCCGACATGCATCAATCACTCCAGGAATATTTTTCATCTCTTCAACGTCTACTTCCCACGAGACTCCAGATATAACCCCCTTGAGGGGTGCCCTGTTCCTAAGAGACACACACAACACTTCAAACGTATAAAATCGGGTGAGATGCAACACACGGTTCTTCTGATCCTCTAGACCTCTCGTGAACCTCACAGCCTTCCCTCTACCCAGCACTCTCTCCACCAGTTTGGATATCTCAAATGGATTCCTCAAGATTGGTAATTCGATCAGCTGCTCCTCATTTATAAACCATACTCCTACAAGATACGAAGTGACTTTCTCATCACTGTACTCTACTTTGCTCCGTTTTCCTTTCTTTTGGACAATATTCTAATTCTCCTTGATTCTACATTTACATTTACATTTACGTCATTTAGCAGACGCTCTTATCCAGAGCGACTTACAAATAGATTCAGAATCCACTTACAAATAGATTCAGAATCCACTTCATCATCCGCTTCCGCCATCTTTTTTCCATCCAACGTTCTACCTCACTCTCATCCAGCGCTCAACAGTGCATCCCACTTGTCTAAAGACAGTATATCACCCCACACCGCCTTTTATAGTGACAGGTCACACAGGGACAGTAAGTGTGTGACGTGACTGTAAACAACTTTGATATTAAGCATCTCAATCACATCGAGTGAATGGGGAGTTCCTATAGGTCGTTTGGAGACCCGTAACGAAAACAAAAGAGAACCAACCCTGTTACACTTAGATATGCAGAAAAAGGTACATATTTTTTTTTACATAGAATTAATCGCAATGATTATGTTTCTAGATTGCAGGAAAAAGCTGTTTCGGGTTTTTGAAAAATGCTAAATTCTCTCAAATGCATTACCCCCCAGCCATCTTCACATAGTTTGTGCCCCCTCAGATTTTTTGGGTGCATGACACCCCTGTCTACAGGTAAGCTTAAGATATTATAAAAATGCTTGTTTTGGACATAAACTAAACATTCCCCAGAGTCTGAAGTCTCTCTTTTTGAACACTGGGAGAATACTGCCCTGTTGTGGTTAACTTGAGAATGGCAATCTACTATTGTCGTAAAAAGTGATACTGCTGCAGTTTACGGCAAATATGGCGACATGATCGGACTGATTTTGTTGTCTGCCAGACCACAACAGTTCATTAAGAAAACCAACGATATATTCGTTTAAAAAGCTATTTCTAGTGATGGGAAACGGAGGCTTTCAGAAGCCTTTGGGGCTTTGACCAAATTGTTCTGAAAAACGGTTCATTACTCGGAGCTTTGAATACAATGCACATTAATTACATATACTGGTCAGCAATGAAAAGCAGCGTTTGACATTCATATAGAAGTTATTTTTCTCAATATTTATTGAGTCTCAGTGACGCGGCGGCTAGTCGTGGGTCTTAGTAGCCTACTTTTAGTTACCATATAGCAGGGGCGGCCTGTTCAATAGGGCGATATGGGCGACGCACTGCCAAACGGGAAAAGGAAGGGATTTTTTTTTAAATCAATTATATCACGGCAACAGTAGTTATCAGTGTTGTAATCTATACGTCTGATCTGCCACAGTGCCACACTGCCACTAAATGTCGAATCAGGCTAAAGTCGTGCTTCAAATGGCTCCCCCCCCTTTTGGGGCGATTTCAGTCAGGTTGAAAATCGCCCAGAAGTCTCTCATAGCCTCTAATGTAAAATCTATTTTTTTCAAATTTCAGAGCCTTCAATACAATCTCTATGGGTGTCTGAGGGCTTGCACTTACGCGCTTTCGTCATACGTAACGTAACGTAACCATGAACGTAACTGAGAAAAGAGCGGATTGTGTCTTTGAAAGAAGTTCCTTTTTGTCGGCGAACAAATGAAGATAAATTGGCAACGAAACAATTAGGACCTCCCAGACCAAATTTAATAATTCAACAGGTTTCTACTAAAGGCGGAAAGTCCTACACCCGAGGATTTTCCAAAAATTGGTACGAACGGAAAAATAGCATTGCCACTCAACTTGATGAGGGATACAGGCTAGCTGTCCGCCGCCACAACGATGAGGTTAGTGTTGATAATCACAAGTTTACTGGAGAACTGAGAGCAAGTAGAGACTTTGGACAGGGTGGATATGGTATAATAAAGGCAGTTTATTCAGAGGTAAAGATATCTGGAATCGCGTGCACGGACCCGTTCGTCAAACTCTTAGGGAGCTATAAATTAAGCCCCATTACTTACCATATCAGATAAGAGAAATTGCTGCAGCTACATATATTTTACATCCTGGCCCTACATAGTTCACTATTTGCATCACTTACCAAAATATTACATGTGGTCATATATGCTTGGAAAGTGGAGATGCCATAGAACGTCAAAAAAGTAAACATTGCTGGAGACACATTGCCGTTTTGGAGAAGACATCGCGTTTGCTAGCGAAGAGATTTGTTGTGGCAAATGAACTTGGGCTGGGAATTGCCAGGAACCTCACGATAAGATATATGCATCAGCATTGCGAGTCTCATGATTCTATACGTATTGCGATTCGATACTGTGATTTTATTGCGCACCATATGTCTGTTGCAGAGGGATCAGAAAGCCATGAGAACGAGTTTTGATCAGTCATGGAAATAAAAGTGCTGAAAACAAATTGGCTCCCAATGTGAAAAGATTGAGAACAAGCTATGAAGGAACAATAATGGTGTTTTGGTGCAGGTACAGCCAACTAGCGCTAAAATATTGCGATATTGTCAATACAGTATATCGTAAAGTATCACTATGTAACTCGATTTCTTTCACCCCAATCCCTCAAATTAACGGTAAATAACTGAATTGTTTGCCCCACATTTAGCTAAGATGATTAGCTAGCCAGCTAAAATGTTTTATTTAGTTAGCAGTCGCATCTACAATAGTTTACTGTCAATAACATGTCTCCAAAAATGACATGGTGTCTCCAATTGTGTTGACATTTTACAATTGCGATGCGCATCCATGAGTATCCACTTTCTGTAGCTCAGCTGGTAGAGCATGGCGCTTGTAACGCCAAGGTAGTGGGTTCGATCCCCGGGACCACCCATACACAAAAATGTATGCACGCATGACTGTAAGTCGCTTTGGATAAAAGCGTCTGCTAAATGGCATATTATTATTATTATTATCTGAAGAGAGCCCCGAAACATTGTGTGCAGACATTTTATGCAATAAATGAAGTAGGTTGAATCTAGTAGTTCTGATCTTCTGATTGGTCCTGATGAGTTGGGCGAGGTCCCCTCCAGGCTACTGTCACTGTTGCATTGGCTCTGAGTCGGGTTCTCTGTCTTCAAATGTTCAGCCTAAGAGAGGGGATTTTTGTGTGTGTGTGTGTGTTTAACAGTGATGATGTGTGTGTGTGTGTGTGTGTGTGTGTGTGTGTTTAACAGTGATGATGTGTACCCCCCTGTATATATAGCCTCCCTACTGTCACTTTATTTTACTGTATATATAGCCTCCCTACTGTCACTTTATTTTACTTCTGCTCTTTTTTTCTCAACACTTTTTTTGTTGTTGTTTATTCTTACTTTTTTTGTTTAAAATAAATGCACTGTTGGTTAAGGGCTGTAAGTAAGCATTTCACTGCAATGTCTGCACCTGTTGTATTCGGCGCATGTGACCAATAAAATTTGATTTGATTTGATTTGATTTGTGTGTGTGTTTGTGTGTGTGTGTGTGTGTGTGTGTCCTCAGAGCAAGAACTCGTGAGTTGGAAGAACTGAGAGGCCTATGGCGTGGGTGTTGTCCTTGGCCACCTGCTGACAAGGCTGACAAGATAGGACCCTTTTGTCCATTGTTATTGGATAGGAACAGAACTTATAACCAGCTCCTGACCTAAATAGATCTTAGCACAACATTTTACTCAACATATCATATTCCATATTCACTATAACAAATATATTTACTACGACATTAGCAAGAACCGCCACATCCTCAGCCGGCTAATCCAGTGTGTGAAGTTTTGCGGAGTGTTTGAGTTAGCTTTGCGAGGCAAAGATGAAACTGAGGGCTCCACCAACCCTGGTAAGCCAACACTTTTGAGATCAGTCAATAAATGCTTCTGGTATTGACTTATATGCTGCCCCTGTCTTCATGTTGTTGCTGGACATATCTTTTTTAAAATGTGTGTAGGTCACCTAAATCATCAGAAAAATTGCCCCCCCTGAGAATTTTTTCAGGAGCCGCCACTGCCATATAGGTTCGCATCCATCATGCTTCCCTTTTTTGCTGTGAATCGCATTTTTAGCTGTCAAAAACGGAATCTATGGCATTATTTAGGATGCGTAAGACAGAAGCTTATACTTTACTAAATAAAAGTCATCGACAACAATGTGCAGAAAGTGTGGTTTCACATAAAACGTTTTTCAACATAATATGCCTTTAACGTAATTCGACCCCATTCCTTTGTTGTAGAGACTGCGACCGTACCTGCTGAGCTACCGTTCAAGTGACGCTATTTGAACTCATCCGAACTACATCTTAAGGTGTCCAGTAGAGGACGGTGTTTGAAAGCAATTTGGAATCGATGACAGCACCCGAACCATGACGGAGTTAGTGGGATCTCGCATTTTGCGACACAAAACCACGTGATCAAAAGAAGCCGTCATTGATCACGTGATAATGTTATTTTGAAACTAGCATCGGTAGCTACATTCTGTCGGATCAGTAGTGCTTTGAAAACTCCATCGGAGCTCCGGTATCAGTCGTCCCATCACTACCTAGTTCAGTTGTAAAGCACCTGTTGTTTTTGTGCAGACCCTGTGACCTTTAATTTGGATCACCTTTGATGGCAGGCGTCATGGAATCGGGTAAGATGACTAGCTAACGTTAGACAAAGTAGGCTACAAACAAGTATAAAGTAGCTAGCGGGTATTGTCACTGCTTGTTTTAAAAGGATGAACGCCCAAATCATGCAAGCTACTTTGCTATCCTGATGTAGCTCGAGTTAACGTTATCTGCCTCCTGGTGCGCGTTCAGTACGACAGAACAGTGTACAACGTTTATTTAAATGGAAGGTACTGTACTGATCGAACAGTTTAAGAACGTTGTGCTTATGGTACCCCATTCATAGACGCTAACTGCTTTAGGAGTATCTTCTGACCAGGGGGGTTTGTTAAGAGCCCCGACACTTCCTCTCAAATGAATCACTTGCGGTACGGTTTGGGAACATACCTTTCATATCAGCGAGATATAATAATAATAATAATAATAAAATAAAAACTTTAATTACTACACACCTTTTATAGGGTTAGTGTTCCCACATGGCCATATCTCCATGTTACATCGCTTGTTTACAGAAGAAAGATGGAAGACATAGGCTGCAACCCAACCTGGTCTCAGAGCATTTTGTATTATTCTCTAAGTAAATCCGAGACATGTATGATATGTTACCTTTCGTATGGTATGTATTAGTTTGTATTATATGTTACGAAATGTGCTAAATGTGACTCGTTTCAGGAAACTATGCGTATGTCGCGCATCACTACTTCACAGGAGAGGCATTTGAACATAAAAATCTTTGGGACAGAAATGCCTTCTGAAACATGTGAACTTTCATGCGCCTTAATAACAAACTTGTATGCCATCTGTAAATACATTTTACATTTACATTTTAGTCATTTAGCAGACGCTCTTATCCAGAGCGACTTACAGTTAGTGAGTGCATACATTTTTCATACTGGAATAAATACGAATAAAATGGTTAAATTACGAGCCTAGTTGGTTTAGCCACGGAAATGTAAGAATGTGTAAGAATGCTGTTCATTGACTATAGCTCAGCATTCAACACCATAATACCCTCCAAGCTCATCATTAAGCTCGAGGCCCTGGGTCTGAACCCCGCCCTGTGCAACTGGGTCCTGGACTTCCTGACGGGCCGCCCCAGGTGGTGATGGTAGGAAACAACACCTCCACTTTGCTGATCCCCATCACTGGGGTCCCACAAGGGTGCGTGCTCAGCCCCCTCCTGTACTCCATGTTCACCCATGACTGCGTAGCCAAGCACGCCTCCAACTCAATCATCAAGTTTGCAGACGACACAACAGTAGTAGGCTTGATTGCCAACAATGACGAGACAGCCTACAAGGAGGAGGTGAGGGCTCTGGGAGTGTGATGCCAGGAGAATAACCTCAATCAACGTCAACAAAACAAAGGAGATGCTCGTGGACTTCAGGAAACAACAGCAGAGGGAGCCCCCCCCCCCTATCCACATAGACGGGACCGCAGTGGAGAAGGTGGAAAGCTTCATGTTCCTCAGCGTACACATCACCGACAAACTGAAATGGTCCACCCACACAGACAGTGTGGTGAAGAAGGCGCAACAGAGCCTCTTCAACCTAAGGAGGCTGAAGAAATTTGGCTTGGCACCTAAAACCCTCACAGATGCACAATTGAGAGCATCCTGTCGGGCTGTATCACCGCCTGGTTCGGCAACTTCACCGCCCACAACCGCAGGGCTCTCCAGAGCGTGGTGCGGTCTGCCCAAAGCATCACCTGGGGCAAACTAACAGCCCTCCAGGACACCTACAGCACCCGATGTCAAAGGAAGGCCAAAAAGATAATCAAGGACAACAACCACCCGAGCAACTGCCTGTTCACCCCGCTATCATCCAAGGCAGCAGCTACTCTTCCTGGGGTCCAGCAAAATTAAGGCAGTTCATACAATTATAAAAACATTACAATACATTCACAGATTTCACAACACACTGTGTGCCCTCAGGCCCCTACTCCACATCTACCACATATCTACAGTACTAAATCCATGTGTACGTGTGTGTATAGTGCGTATGTTATCGTGCGTATGCATGTGTCTGTGCCTATGTTTGTGTTGCTTCTCAGTCCCCGCTGTTCCATACGTTTTTTTTTTTAATCTGTTTTTTAAATCTAATTTTACTACTTGCATCAGTTACTTGATGTGGAATAGAGTTCCATGTAGTCATGGCTCTATGTAGTACTGTGCACCTCCCATAGTCTGTTCTGGACTTGGGGACTGTGAAGAGACCTCTGGTGGCATGTCTGTATATATGCTGCCGACATACATAGATTTGAAATCACTGCCACTTTAATAAATGGAACACTAGTCACTTTAATAATGTTTACATATCTTGCATTACTCATCTCATATGTATATACTGTATTCTATACTATTCTACTGTATCTTAGTTTATGCCGCTCTGACATTGCTCGTCCATATATTTATTTATATATTCTTAATTACATTGCTTTACTTAGATTTGTGTGTATGGGGTATATGTTGTGAAATTGTTAGATATTACTTGTTAGATATTACTGCACTGTCGGAGCTAGAAACACAAGCATTTCGCTACACCCGCAATAACATCTGCTAAACACGTATGTGACCAATAACATTTTATTTGAAAAAGACAGGAACCTTCCCGCTAGCCATGATTGGCTGAGATGGATGGGCTGGACATGCCGAAAGAGTTCGGATTGGTCTGCCATGAAGCACGCTTCTGTCTATAACATGAGCTGCTCAGTATGTGTAGGTAATCCTTTCTAACGCGCTTTTTTGAAAGATATCACGAAGAACTGAAAAGTGTTGCTAATGCTCTCCACTTTCTGGAGGACTGAGTTGAAATCAGTGGAATGCCTGGTGGAAGCAGAGTATGATAGCTAAGGAGATGGAGAAAATGCAGGCATTTGATTTCAAATATGCGGAGGGATTTGTAAAGAGAACATACAGAAGGCTGTTGTATAAAACACCTATCTCCAGATTACATCTTCAAACTAAGGGCAACCATGGCATCTGTGACAGAGAAGGAGAAGCGTTCATCCATGTATACGGGTAAGAGAGTCTAGTTAGCTACATTTTCAGATATTATACGTCAGAAAGTCATTTTCATTGCAAGTTAAAGCGTACTGTTAGCTAGCTAGCTAACGTTAGCTGGCTGGCTCGCTGGCTGGCTGGCTCGCTAGCTAGCTAACGTTGTATGTATGGTAATATTCGTATCTCAGAGCCATTTGCATTGCTAGTTATAGCCTAATGTTAGCTAGCTAGCTAAGATTGAACCTAGTTGGTTAGCTTTAGCTACCTATAGATTCATGCAGGGTGGTAATGTTATGAGTTGGGATTATGGTTCATTGTTTAGCTAGCTACATGTCTAAACAAAAGACACCGCTATGCAAGTAATCATTTCACTGTACCGTTTACACCTTCTGTATCCTGTGCATGTGACAAATAAACTTTCACACTTGCTCTACATTAATCCTTGGGAAACATATATTTAGAAAAGGAATACTTTAACCAAATTGCCTAAATGGATTCTCTGAACATTATCTCACCAAGTTACCCCATTAGGCAAACCATTTACAGTATTAAATTGCCAATTGTTGTATAATAAATATAACCTTTCACATTGAACAGCTACAGTGCTGTTCTTTGTTTATGCCCATTTAGCATTGTTCGCACCCTCTAAAGCCTTAGACCCACCCATCTCTTAAGAATTCACATTGGAACACATGTGAATTTGGCCATGTCCAAAGGCAGTGAGGTAGTGCTTAAATTTTCAACAATAAAATACTTTATTAACTTCAAGTGCTGAAGGTAGTAGCCTACAATTAGGAACAAATTATAACACACAAACACAAAGGCTTAGGTAAAAACAATATCTAGGCCTATGTTATAAGATCCTTTGAGTAACTTTGGTCCAGGTGATGTTATGATATGAACAAAGGAATCTAGCCTGAGAGTATATTTCTGACATGCCATTTGGAGTAGGACATGTAATGGCCATGGCCTTTTCATTGCAAAAGTCCTGATCTTCTCAAAAATATGTTTGCCGGGTTGTGTCCAGTCCGGGGGATGCTTTCACATCTCTGGGAAGAAGGACGTTAACATTGCACAGGAGCTGAAACCTGGTTCCATCTGAGTGAAAGCTCCTTGGCCACAACAACACCAGGCTCCTGACAATTAAAGCTGTAAAGGAGGAAAGACATTAAAACCTTGCATACCAGCAATAACATTAAATTACCCCCAAGTCCAAGCAATAAGCTCAAAGTACACAGACAAAATACCTGAAGTGTTGCTTGTTCACCCTCAATCATTTCCTTGTACTGGTGGCGGAGAGCAGGTTTATGCTGGAAGACAAATAAATAAAAAAATAGGTTTTAAAACATGAATTAATTAATGGCCTATAGCTTGTTATTGCCTGTTGACTGCTACAGCTGTACTAAAATGCCCTGTACACACTTAACCTAGCCCAACAATGGCAATGCAGACACACGATAACTAGCTAGATTTAGCAAACGTTTAGCTTCAGAATTACGAGCTGGTTAGATGTAAATGGTATTCATCTAGCTAGCCAGCTAGTTGAACATGCAAAAAAAAAAGACCTCAATCTATAATCCAATAACTAGCTAGCCAATTTAGCATGTGTCCCTATAACGTAACATAGGGTTTGATTTAGCTTGCTAATCGATTAGCATTCTCACAACAGTGGCTATTTTCGGTAGCTAGCTAGTTAAACATGTCAAACTGGCAAACAAGAAAAATATTATCATCATGTAATAGCCTTAGCACATCAGCAATCAACATTAACAGCAGAATGCAACTAGCCAGCTCAGCTAGCTGTCTTAATGTTGCTTCATCCCGCAATCTGTAAACAATGGCTCATTGCAGGACAAAGCAAGCCATAACGGTACCTGTATGCAACTGTCTAGCTAGCTAGCAATGAAAACAACTTTTTGATACCGTTGAGACAATAACATATGTACATGTAACTATCTTGGCATTTTATCTGTAGACGCTTGCCGGTGTATGGATTATGATGATTCACGGCAGACTGAAACACTTTTTTAAATAATCCTTCCCACTGTGCTTCAACCAGTCCAGATTGCTTTAGCCACAGAAGACAGAGCAGTGTCGATACCAGCAGTTGTATACAGGATAACACTGGTATTGAAAGCTGTAGCTACACTTTGCATGTAGGCCAAGTAAACACTTTTTTTATGTTCAAATGCCTCTCCTGTGAAGTAGTGACATGCGACATACGCCCAGCTTTCTGTAAAGGGTCACATACGTTACGAATTTGCAAAACGTATGATATGTTACGAATGCTAGCTGGCTAACGTTAGCTGGGTTAGGGTTAAGTTTAGGAATTAGGTTAAAGGGGAAGGGTTAGCTAACATGCTAAGTAGTTGCAAAGTAGCTAAAATGCTATAGTTGTCCGTGATGAAATTCGAACTCGCAACCTTTGGGTTGCTAGACGTTCGCGTTATGCGTCCACCCCGACTAACCGCCCTACTTTTGTTTTTGCCTGAAGTAACCATCTGTCTTATGTAACCATACCAAAAGTAACATGTCATACTAATTTGTGTGTTCCGGATTTACACTACCGTTTAAACGTTTGGGGTCACTTAGAAATGTCCTTGTTTTCAAAAGAAAAGCAATTTTGTTGTCCATTAAAATAACATCAAATTGATCAGAAATACAGTGTAGACATTGTTAATGTTGTAAATGGTTATTGTAGCTGGAAACGGCTGATTATTAATGGAATATCTACATAGGCGTACAGAGGCCCATTATCAGCAGCCATCAGTCCTGTGTTCCAATGACACGTTGTGTTTATCATTTTAAATGGCTAATTGATCATTAGAAAACCCTTTTGCAATTATATTAGCACAGTTGAAAACTGTTGTGCTGATTAAAGAAGCAATAAAACTGGCCTTCTTGAGACTAGTTGAGTATCTGGAGCATCAGCAATTGTGGGTTCGATTACAGGTTCAAAATAGCCAGAAACAAAGAACTCTTCTGAAACTCGTCAGTCTATTCTTGTTCTGAGAAATGAAGGCTATTCCATGCGAGAAATTGCCAAGAAACTGAAGATCTCGTACAACGCTGTGTACTACTCCCTTCACAGAACAGCGCAAACTGGCTCTAACCAGAATAGAAAGAGGAGTTGGAGGCCCCGGTGCACAACTGAGCAAGAGGACAAATTCATTAGTGTCTAGTTTGAGAAACAGATGCCTCACAGGTCCTCAACTGGCAGCTTCATTAAATAGTACCCGCAAAACACCAGTCTCAATGTCAACACTGAAGAGGAGACTCCGGGATGCTGACCTTCTAGGCAGAGTTGCAAAGAAAAAGCCATATCTCAGACTGGCCAATAAAAAGAAAAGATGGGCAAAAGACCACAGACACTGGACAGAGGAAGATTGGAAAAAAAATGTATGGACAGAAGAATCGAAATTTGAGGTGTTCAGATCACAAAGAATAACATTTGTGAGATGCAGATCAAATGAAAAGATGCTGAAGGAGTGCTTGATGCCATCTGTCAAGCATGGTGGAGGCAATGTGATGGTCTGGGGGTGCTTTGGTGGTGATAAAGTGGGAGATTTGTACAGGGTAAAAGGGATCTTGAAGAAAGAAGGCTATCACTCCATTTTGCAACGCCATGCCATACCCTGTGGACGGTGCTTGATTGGAGCCAATTTCCTCCTACAACAGGACAATGACCCAAAGCACAGCTCCAAACTATGCAAGAACTATTTAGGGAAGACGCAGTCAGCTGGTATTCTGTCTATAATGGAGTGGCCAGCACAGTCACCGGATCTCAACCCTATTGAGCTGTTGTGGGAGCAGCTTGACCATATGGTACGTAAGAAGTGCCCATCAAGCCAATCCAACTTATGGGAGGTGCTTCAGGAAGCATGGGGTGAAATCTCTTCAGATTACCTCAACAAATTGACAACTAGAATGCCAAAGGTCTGCAAGGCTGTAATTGCTGCAAATGGAGGATTCTTTGACACAATTATTATTTCTATTAAAAATCATTATTTCTAACCTTGTCAATGACCACATTTCCTATGAATTTTGGTATATTTCCTATTCAAACTCATTTCATGTATGTTTTCATGGAAAACAAGGACATTTCTAAGTGACTCCAAACTTTTGAACGGTAGTGTATGTTTACTATGTTACATCTAGTCTATGAGACTAGGCTGGGCCACCTGTGCTGATTAGCTATCTAGCGTGCTCCGAACACCTGTGTGTGAATTTAACTGGGGAGGAAGTGTAGTTTGTCAACTGGAGGCACACACATCTAGTGGATCTGTGCAAATATGCTACAGTAAGTATATTTTATTTGAAAGATTATTTCTCGCTGTCATGAAAGATAAGGGGTATATCAGTATATGTTTTGAAAACCGGTTTGGAAGAGATGATTATTTACTTTCTAAACGTTAAAACACAGTGTTGTAATTGTAGTTCACATGGACGCAACAGTGGGTGAATGTATCCGCTGAAAACCCTACATATGGAGAAGGGTTTTCGAGAGTGTAGGGTTTTCGAGAGCAATGATTATGGTGGCCCAAAGGGCGATTGATTGTATGGTGTGCTGCATGAGTATGTGCTTTTAGCAACGCAAGTGTGTTTACATAAACTAGCGTTGCTTTCAATTGTATTGGGTTGCACAGAAACAGTCCGTGGGAAGCCAGAAGTGAAATACAATTCCATTTCAACATACTGTGCCGGTGGGCAGGATGGTTGGTCATTATGACGGGGGAATTTGGAACAAAATATCTAAAGGATCGTATTATTAAACAGACTTTCCAACGTGGGTCTGTTGTAGACCCACTTCCTCTAACCCTTCCCTCATGTCAAAATAAAATTTCCCACAAGTTATTCATTTTTTTTTGTCCACATATGGAGCACGTGCAGGACTTTTATTTTGACAGACCCACGTTTGGAAAGTCTGTTTAATAATACGATCCTTTAGATAATTTGTCTCAAATTCCCCCCGTCATAATGACCAACCGTCCTGCCCACCGTCACAGTAAGTTGAAATGGAATGGTATTTAACTTCTGGCTTCCCACTGACTGTTTTTGTGCAACCCAATACAATTGAAAGCAAAGCTAGTGTATGTAAGTTCAATCTGTAATGCAACATAGGAAATGTTGAACTGAACACACCCCTGGTTTGCTAGCCAGCTGTTTCAGCTAGCAAGCTGCCATCCTCAAAGTCAGCTGTAATGTTCTGTTACTCTAACTTGTTCTGTGTATCTAACTTCACAGAGGAGCAGGCGAGGAACCGCTTTCAATCAGAGCTGGAGTTTATCCAATGCTTGGCCAATCCGAATTATCTGAACTGTGAGTGGGGTTATCTAGCTAGCTAGCTAACATATCCTCAACTGTTTGTCACTCCGTACAACCAGACACTCATTACTATAACCTGTAGATCTAGCTAGCATTGTTTGTGACTTTTCTCTGTTCCTGTGTCCCTCCAGTTTTGGCTCAGAGGGGCTACCTGCGAGAGAAACCCTTTGTGAACTACCTGAAGTACCTACTGTACTGGAAGGAGCCTGAATACGCCAAATTCCTGAAGTAAGATTCAGACTTTTGTAGTTCGTAAAATAACACGTAAGCCCTCTCCCTCTGCATCATATACACTGAGTGTACAAAACATTAGGAACTCTTTCCATGACTGAGACTGACCAGGTTAATCCAGGTGGAAGCTATGATCCCTTATTGATGTCACTTGTTAAATCCACTTCAATCAGTGTAGATGAAGGGGAGGAGATAATAAAAAAATCATTATTTAAGCTAAGGCTTGAGACAATTGAGACATGGATTGTGTATGTGTGCCGTTCAGATGGTGAATGGGCAACACAAGATTTAAGTGCCTTTTGAACGGGGTATGGTAATAGGTAGGGCTGTGGCGGTCACACATTTTCGTCAGCCGGTGATTGTCAAGCAAATAACTGTCGGTCTCACGGTAATTGACCGTTAATTAACATTTCGCATCTCCTGGCTTCCACACACAGCTATATGATGCAGACCTTTGGAACATCTACACTACCGTTCAAAAGTTTGGGGTCACTTAGAAATGTCCTTGTTTTCGAAAGACAAGCAATTTTGTTGTCCATTAAAATAACATTAAATTGATCAGAAATACAGTGTAGACATTGTTAATGTTGTAAATGGCTATTGTAGCTGGAAACGGCTGATTTTTAATGTAATATCTACATAGGCGTACAGAGGCCCACTATCAGCAATCATCAGTCCTGTGTTCCAATGGCACGTTGTGTTTGCTAATCCAAGTGTATCATTTTAAAAGGCTAATTGGTCATTAGAAAACCCTTTTGCAATTATGTTAGCACAGCTGAAAACTGTTGTGCTGATTTAAAGAAGCAATAAAATGGGCCTTCTTGAGACTAGTTGAGTATCTGGAGCATCAGCAATTGTGGGTTCGATTACAGGCTCAAAATGGCCAGAAACAAATAACTTTCTCCTGAAACTCATCAGTCTATTCTTGTTCTGAGAAATGAAGGCTATTCCATGCGAGAAATTGCCAAGAAACTGAAGATCTCGTACAACACTGTGTACTACTCCCTTCACAGAACAGCGCAAACTGGCTCTAACCAGAATAGAAAGAGGAGTGGGAGGCCCCAGTGAGCAAGAGGACAAATTCATTAGAGTGTCTAGTTTGAGAAACAGACGCCTCACAGGTCCTCAACTGGCAGCTTCATTAAATAGTACTCGCAAAACACCAGTCTCAACGTCAGCAGTGAAGAGGCGACTCCGGGATGCTGACCTTCTAGGCAGAGTTGCAAAGAAAAAGCCATATCTCAGACTGGCCAATAAAAAGAAAATATTAAGATGGGCAAAAGAACACAGACTGTTGTGGGAGCAGCTTGACCATATGGTACGTAAGAAGTGCCCATCAAGCCAATCCAACTTGTGGTGGGGTGAAATCTCTTCAGATTACCTCAACAAATTGACAACTAGAATGCCAAAGGTCTGCAAGGCTGTAATTGCTGCAAATGGAGGATTCTTTGACGAAAGCAAAGTTTGAAGGATATTATTTCTAACCTTGTCAATGACTACATTTCCTATGCATTTTGCTATATTTCCTATTCAAACTAATTTCATGTATGTTTTCATGGAAAACAAGGACATTTCTAAGTGACCCCAAACTTTTGAACGGTAGTGTACATTTTAAAAAGTCCAAAAAAATACATGTAATATAGCCTACACCTTAACAATAAATCCATGATTTATTTTAGACCGGTCTAAAGAGGCATGATATGAAGAAAATGTAGTTATTTCAGAAGAACAGAATAGTGGACTCTGAGTTGTCCTGATGTATTTTGTATTTATTAAGGATCCCCATTAGCTGCTGCCAAGGCAGCAATTTTCCATCCAAGTTGTCAGACCCCGGTGGCTTGTCATTGTTAATAGACAACAATAATTTGTTCACCTCTTCCACACTCACTTTACGGAATTCAAAATTACAATGCTTGTCTTTCAGAATTTGGTCAGATATACTTGGATGTGTAGTGTCAGCAATTGTTGCTGGCATGTCATGCCTAAGTTTGCTAATCTTGCCAATGAAAAAAGTATTAAAGTAGTTGGCAATATCAGTTGGTTTTGTGATGAATGAGCCATCTGATTCAATGAATGATGGAGCTGAGTTTGTCTTTTTTTCCCAGAATGTCATTTAAGGTGCTCCAAAGCTTTTTACTATCATTCTTTATGTCATTTATCCTTGTTTCATAGTGTTGTTTCTTCTTTTTATTCAGTTTAGTCACATGATTTCTCAATTTGCAATACGTTTGCCAATCGGTTGTGCAGCCAGACTTATTTGCCATTCATTTTGCCTCATCCCTCTCAACCATACCATTTTTCAATTCCTCATAAATCCACAGGGATTTAACAGTTTTTACAATCATTTTCTTAATGGGTGCATGCTTATTAGTAACTGGAATAAGCAATTTCATAAATGTGTCAAGTGCAGTGTCTGTTTGCTCCTCATTACACACCACGGACCAACATATATTCTTTACATCAACAACATAGGAATCACTACAAAACTTCTTGAATGACCTCTTATACACAATATTAGGCCCAGCCTTTGGAACTTTGGTTTTCCTAGATATGGCTACTATATTGTGATCACTACATCCAATGGATTTGGATACTGCTTTCAAACAAATCTCTGCAGCATTAGTAAAGATATGATCAATACATGTTGATGATTTAATTCCTGTACTGTTTGTAACCACCCTGGTAGGTTGACTGATAACCTGAACCAGGTTGCAGGCACTGGTTACAGTTTGAAGCTTTCTCTTGAGTGGGCAGCCTGATGACAGCCAGTCAATATTTAAATCACCCAGAAAGTATACCTCTCTATTGATATCACATACATTATCAAGCATTTCACATATGTTATCCAGATACTGACTGTTAGCACTTGGTGGTCTATAGCAGCTTCCCACCAGAATTGGCTTTAGGTGATGCAGTTGAACCTGTAGCCATATTACTTCAACAGTATTTAACATGAGATCCTCTCTAATCTTCACAGGAATTTGGTTCGTTATATAAACAGCAACACCTCCACCATTGGCATTTCTATATTTTCTGTAAATGTTATAACCTTGAATTGCTACCACTGTATCATCAAAGGTATTATCTAAGTGAGTTTCAGGGATAGTCAGAATATGAATGTCATCTGTTACTAGCAAAGTATTGATTTCATTAACCTTGTTTCTTAAGCTACATATGTTAACGTGGGCTATTTTGAGCACTTTTCTTATGGGATGCTTACTTCTTTTTATTGCTTTACTGGGAAGCTTAGCAGCAGTAGATGTGCTCATGTTCTTTATGTTAGTGCACGTGAGCTGCACACAGTGGACTGCCTCCTCAGGTACACCGGCTCAGTGCTAACAGTATAAATCTGGTTCTTAGGCACATGATTTCTGCACACAATAGCTGTAGGATCAGCGGTGGCATTCAGGGCAGTTAGAGGGACATAAATTAGGTTACTTATATTGTGACTACCGACGTCCCTGATGTAATGTACATTTGCTGAAGCATTTTGACAACTCTGTGTCACAATGGTAGGGATTAGCTGAGCTGGGCTTGGGTCATTGCTAAGTCATTGTCTCAACGCAGCCTTATAATGCTGTTAAAGGATCCAGGAACCCAAATGATTTGGGTGGATCCCATCCTCCTTATTTTACTTTTTTTTAAACATTTTTAGTCATTTAGCAGACGCTCTTATCCAGAGCGCCTTACAGTTAGTGAGTGCATACATTTTTTTCATACTGGCCCCCCGTGGGAAACGAACCCACAACTCTGGCGTTGCAAGCGCCATGCTCTACCAACTGAGCTACACAGGGCCTTATAAAAGTGTTTTGTTTCCAAAAGGTATAGAAATTGTCAACAAAAGTTACACCCATTGAGCTGCAATAATCACGTAGCCAGTTGTGAAGAGCAAGAATCCTGCTAAAGCGTTCAATGCCACGATTCAGAGAGGGCACAGGGACAGATATGATGGGTTTTTTGTTAGTGTCTAGCAGAGAGTCAATCAGCTCTTTAAAATCCAGTTTCAACTGTTCAGAGCTGCCCTTCATAATGTTATTAAAACCCACATGGACTACGATAGAATCAATTTCCATGTCCTGACATAGTACATTCGGGAGCAGCTTAGTAATGTCATTTACTCGAGTTCTGGGATAGGACATTGTTTTTGCACCAGGAACAGTCACATTTCTTACCATGGAGCTGCCCAAAATCACGGCTGGCGAGAAGGACGAGGAAATCTGCCCACTCCCACGCTTCACAGGATGCAGGCCTCCGACAGATAGAGAAGCCCCGCTCGATGCAGAGCAGGGACGGAAGGTTGCCGACGTCGACTTCGGAATCGTAGTAGTAGGCACTGCGGCCACAGGCACAGACACCCCCAGCGACGAAGGTGCAGGAAGATCAGGCTCCAGTACGGCGAAGCTATTCGTTGTTTGTATCCGCTCCGGGCCTCTCGTTGGGAGTGTAGACTGCTTTGCGGGAGGTCTTCGGCGTCCACGGCTCGTGACATGCGACCATCGTTGATTGCCTTTCTCCTCATACTGTGCTCCTTCAATGGCGCTATCAGATGGTGGAGCTCCGGGCAACACCGGCTAGTCGGATAACGGCAAACAACAAGGCGGAGATGTATCCAACAAGCGCAAACGCCGTCCAGCCACCGGCGTAGAAAATGTAATCATTCCACTCTGCGTTTTCCCCAGTTTCTTACGTAGGCTGGCGACCTGCGTGATCAAGGAAGCCACCTCAAGCCTATAATCCTCGGCAAGTAAACAATTGCTGCATCGGAAGTCCGAGTGATCCGGTTTGTCCCGAAACAAAGCGTAATAGATACAGCTCCTACAGCGCTGGAACCGTTCATTTAGTTCTCCAGATAAAGAGGGCTCAATTGCTAAACTCATCAGGTACCAACTTCGTTAGCTTGATGGCTAGCAGCTTAGCGTCTCTGTTAAGCAGGCTTCAACCTGTCTCTTGATGGCTAGCAGCTTAGCTAGGTTAGCGGCTCTTTCACGCAGACTTTAACCTGTCAGTTAAGCGAGATTCTGGGACAAGAGATAGTGGTCCTAGCTGATAAAAGCTAACCACGATGCGGAATCCATGCAAAAACACGTTCGGTATTTATGTTTGTGGCAATGCCAAATGGCTGTGGGCTACACTAGTTAATTTAGCAGACAAGATTTGCTTAGAATTCCGTGGCATTATTTTACATTATTTTATAGTATGAAGAATACAATTGAACAAAGTAACAAAAATATAAATATTTTCTCCAAATGCAGCTATTCTGTGTTGAGCGGTAAACAAAGAAATAGGTACTCCTATATGCTTAATTTAGAGTTATTAATGTAACTTTAGTTGTTCTACAAACGTTGGGCTATATGTTTTGATTTTTAATACATTCTAAGGCTGCATGATGCGACTCTAATGATGATTTGAAAAAAGTCGCTTGAAAGGCATGAGCTCTACTTTGTTTTTTGCGCAGGCTGTACACACTTTATTAGTCTCTCATTGACAATTTGACAAGCACTTGTTAATGCCTTGAATTTCCTATTTGTGGCCGTAATCATGGGCGGCGCACAATTGGCCCAGCGTCGTCCAGGGTAGGGGAGGGAATGGCCGGCAGGGATGTAGCTCAGTTGATAGAGCATGGCGTTTGCAACACCAGGGTTGTGGGTTCGATTCCCACGTGGGGCCAGTATAAAAAAATATGTATTCACTAACTGTAAGTCGCTCTGGATAAGAGCGTCTGCTAAATGACTAAAATGTAAATGTAAATGTAATGCACCCTAAAAAACTCCATGCCTTTGTTGTGCCCTTCTCCCTGAGCACGCGCTCTCCATCATGTGATCGGGTCTTTCTCACAGGCTACAAGTGAAGACAGACACATCGGGGATGCAACTGTGCGCGTCCTTATCCAATTCCGAGGTGCATATTGAAGATATTGGAAGAACTGTCCACATTTACTTTTCATCAGCCAACAAGATGAGTAGGCCTAACGAACAGCAAAAGTACAAAAGTCGACCTATTGTATTCTGTGCGAGAAATAAATCTTCCAAACATAGTCTGGGACAGTTGTGGGATACAATAGATCCCAAATTAATACTACAACCACTAGCATCCCAAAATATGTTTTACGCAATGTGGCTGACACAACAGATCAAAACATTTAGGTTAAAATGTTGATAAACTATTAGGCTATTTCTTCACATTATAAGTGTAGCAATGCGCACATGGCAGTAGGCTATAAGCGGGAATGTTCCATTAGCGGGAAAACGCCATTATCAAAAGTGACCGCAAATGCGATTATGCATATAATGCTTTTATTATAAAGGTGCATTTTTATGGTGAAAATTATCTTCCCCTTGTAAAGCGGATTAATGTGCTTAATTTTAAGACTTTCTTGGCCACTTTGGTTGTGATACAAACCTTATCAAAACACATAGGCCTATGGGCTAGGCTAAATGAGGTGTGCAACTATGATTCGAAAAAGTTGCCAAAGAAAAGCCTTTTTCTTATGCTGGACATCATTCACAAGTGATAATATATGTGATAGGCTAATATTGTCACCTGACTATTCTTGATTTAATCTTGTCTTTACATATACTAAATAATATAAATATATGAAATTTGTTTTGATTTAGAATGGACCATTATCATGGACCTGTCTCGAACAGGGGCAGCGGGAAAAATACATGTCATCTATGCACTTAAATAGCGTGATTCATTTTCATGCCCGCAAGGTAGGCTATACTCCTGTTGTAAAGATAATCAATGTGCTTAATATTAGGAAAGTCTATAAATAAATGGAGAAGCCTAATTACCATGACTAAACGATCATGTGGAATTTGACTGCCTTCATTATTCGTGACTGCCGGTGTGGCGGTAATACGGTCACTGCAACAGCCCTAGTAGTAGGTGCCAGGCGCACTGGTTTGAGTGTGTCAAGAACTGCAACGCTGCTTGGTTTTTCACACTCAACAGTTTCCGGTGTGTATCAAGAATGGTCCACCACCCAAAGGTCATCCAGCCAACTTGACACAACTGTGGGAAGCATTGGAATCAACATGGGCCAGCATCCCTTTGGAACGCTTTCTGACACCTTGTAGAGTCCATGCCCCAATGAATTGAGGCTGTTCTGAGGGAAAAAAAGGGGGTGTAACTCAATATTACGAAGGTGTTCCTAATGTTTTGTACACTCAGTGTACATCGGTTACAGGAGTATAACAGTATGTATGTAGAACAGTACCTATATAAAACTCTCCCTTTCTTGCAGATACCCCCACTGCCTGCACATGCTGGAGCTCCTTCAGTATGAGCACTTCAGGAAGGAGCTTGTGAATGCACAATGTGCCAAGTTCATTGACGAGCAGCAGCTACTGCACTGGCAACACTACTCCCGCAAACGCACCCGCCTGCAACAGGCCCTGGCAGAGCAGCAACAACAGCAGCAACAGCAGCCGCCTCACGGCAATGCTACCAAATGAGTGTGAGGGGGAGAGAGAGAGAGAAAGAGACTAAGGACGAGGATGAAGGCATGATTGCAGGAGTCTGGACTCAAATGGACATGGCCTCAAATGTCAATTCAGCCTCCTGGAAAAGTATGTGCTATATGGATCATGGGGATGAATCTCTTTTTTTCTTCTTGTTTAAGTTTCTGAATTTGTATAATTAAAAACATCTGACTTTTGTGTAATAAATAACTTTAGGTTAGAATGCTGTTGCCTTGTGTTGTTTGGCCTCAGTAGAACAGTGGTGGAAATAAACAGCATGTTGTTTACTCATTTCTCAGGGAGAGTGAGGCAGCCGTTTTTGGTTAGCAATACATCAGACCAGAAAACTATGATAGATACTACACTACCGGTCAAAAGATTTAGAACACATACTCATTCAAGGGTTTTTCTTTATTTTTACTATTTTCTACATTGTAGAATAATAGTGAAGACATCAAAACTATGAAATAACACAAATGGCCAAAAAAGTGTTAAACAAATCAAAATATATTTTAGATTTTAGATTCTTCAAAGTAGCTACCCTTTGCCTTGATGACAGCTTTGCACACTCTTGGCATTCTCTCAACCAGCTTCACCTGGAATGCTTTTCCAACAGTCTTGAAGGAGTTCCCACATTTGCTGAGCACTTGTTGGCTGCTTTTCCTTCACTCTGCGGTCCGACTCATCCCAAACCATCTCAATTTGGTTGAGGTCGGGGGATTGTGGAGGCCAGGTCATCTGATGCAGCACTCCATCACTGTCCTTCTTGGTAAAATAGCCCTTACACAGCCTGGAGGTGTGTTGGGTCATTTGTCCTGTTGAAAAACAAATGATAGTCCAACTAAGCCCAAACCAGATGGGATGGCATATCGCTGCAGAATGCTGTGGTAGTCATACTGGTTAAGTGTGCCTTGAATTCTAAATAAATCACAGACAGTGTCACCAGCAAAGCACTCCCACACCATAACACCACCACCTCCAAGGTTTACGGTGGGAAATACACATGCAGAGATCATCCGTTCACCCACACCGTGTCTCACAAAGACACAGCGGTTGGAACCAAAAATCTCAATTTTGGACTCCAAACCAAAGGACACATTTCCACCAGTCTAATGTCCATTGCTTGTGTTTCTTGGCCCAAGCAAGTCTATTCTTCTTATTGGTGTCCTTTAGTAGTGGTTTCTTTGCAGCAATTCAACCATGAAGGCCTGATTCACACAGTCTCCTCTGAACAATTGATATTGAGATGTGTCTCTTACTTGAACTCTGTGAAGCATTTATTTGGCCTGCAATTTCTGAGGTGCTGTTAACTCTAATGAACTTATCCTCTGCAGAAGAGGTAACTCTTGGTCTTCCATTCCTGTGGCGGTCCTCATGAGAGCCAGTTTCATCATAGCGCTTGATGGATTTTGAGACTGCACTTGAAGAAACTTTAAAAGTTCTTGAAATGTTCCGTATTGACTGACCTTCATGTCTTAAAGTAATGATGGACTGTCATTTGTCTTTGCTTATTTGAGCAGTTTTTGCCATTATATGGACTTGGTCTTTTACCAAATAGGGCTATCTTCTGTATACCCCCCCTACCTTGTCACAACACAACTGATTGGCTCAAACGCAATAAGAAGGAAAGAAATTCCACAAATTAACTTTTAAGAAGGCACACCTGTTAATTGAAATGAATTCCAGGTGACTACCTCATGAAGCTGGTTGAGAGAATGACAAGAGTGTGCAAAGCTGTCATTTACATTTTACATTTTAGTCATTTAGCAGACGCTCTTATCCAGAGTGACTTAGTTAGTGAGTGCATACATTTTCAAGGCAAAGGGTGGCTATTTGAAGAATCTCAAATATAAAATATATTTGGATTGATGTAACACTTTTTTGGTTACTGCATGATTCCATATGTGTTATTTCATAGTTTTGATGTCTTCACTATTATTCTACAATGTAGATAATAGTAAAAATAAAGAAAAACCCTTGAATGAGTAGGTGTTCTAAAACCTTTGACCGGTAGTGTAGACGTCAATAATGGATATTATGCACCCAAGGGCTAAACAGACTAGATATGCAGTGGAAACCACCACCAGGGGAGAAATATGATTGTAAAAACTATTGGTCGCTAAATCCGGAGAAATTACGGACCATGTAAAAAACCAGCTAGAAGGACCACGTAAAAACAGTTGGCTGGTAAACCCTCACCCGTCTGAGCGGTCGGCTATGAATGCCCTCACCCGCTATATACTTATAACTGATTGATTTGGTTCTGCCCACTATAGTGCTGTCCGGTCAGAACATGATGTTGAGGCTCATAATGAACACTTGGTCACCACCACACTCACACACACACACACGCAGACACAGCTGTTTCCATTTGAAGATGTTTGTATGATCGTGGTAATCCGAATGACTTGGAATTGTATTGTTGTGGTTCTATAAGACAAAAATATTCACACATGTAAACAGTATTAGTTAAGGGTTATAACTATACAATATACATATGTACATTAATAAATGGCTAATGGCACTACATTTATAACATGTCTATAAAGGGCTATAAACACAGCATCAATATAAACATAAACATTCACCTCTTGGAGAGAGAGAGAAAAACAAATTACTTGTATTGACAAAGGGTCAAGATTAATGACACCCTCTCTCTAGCCTTGTGTGAGAATCTGGCAGGCTGAGACCTTATCAGATCTGCCCTGGCGCCATTACTCTGTGCATGAGCAAGCTCAAAGAACTGTCTGAGATGACTATAAGCTCGCCCATGGCAGCGCAATAAAACACCTTGGAAAACGCTGTGGTAGCGTGTGCATGCAAAAGACTATGTTAACCAATACAACAATTAAACCACTTCTGCAAAAGTACTTGTGCAACCAATGCAATAACACTTATGGCAGTACGGAATAATACTACATACGATAAACAATAGGCAAAGCAGGATTGGCAACTCTAACATTACAGAATAGTAACAGCCATACAGTAGAACATATGTCTGAAAGCTATCAAATCAAATCAAACTTTAATTGTCACATGCGCCAAATACAACCTTACCGTGAAATGCTTACTTACAAGCCCTTAACCAACAATGCAGTTCAAGAAAGAGTTAAGAAAATATTTCCCAAATAAACTAAAGTAAAAAGAAAAAAAAAAAGAAAGGTAACACAAAATAACAATAACGAGGCAATATACAAGGGGGTACCGGTACCGAGTCAGTGTGCGGGGGTACAGGTTAGTTTGTACATGTAGGTAGGGGTAAAGTGACTATACATAGATAATAGACAGCAGGTAGCAGTAGTGTAAAAACAAATGGGGGGGGTGTCAATGTAAATAGTCGGGTGGCCATTTGATTAATTGTTCAGCAGTCTTATGGCTTGGGGGTAGAAGCTGTTAAGGAGCCTTTTGGTCCTAGACTTGGGGCTCCGGTACCGCTTGCCGTGCGGAAGCAAAGAGAACAGTCTGACTTGGGTGACTGGAGTCCTTTCCTCTGACACCGCCTAGTATATACAGTGGGGGAAAAAAGTATTTAGTCAGCCACCAATTGTGCAAGTTCTCCCACTTAAAAAGATGAGAGAGGCCTGTAATTTTCATCATAGGTACACGTCAACTATGACAGACAAAATGAGATTTTTTTTCTCCAGAAAATCACATTGTAGGATTTTTTATGAATTGATTTGCAAATTATGGTGGAAATTAAGTATTTGGTCAATAACAAAAGTTTCTCAATACTTTTATATACCATTTGTTGGCAATGACACAGGTCAAACGTTTTCTGTAAGTCTTCACAAGGTTTTCACACACTGTTGCTGGTATTTTGGCCCATTCCTCCATGCAGATCTCCTCTAGAGCAGTGATGTTTTGGGGCTGTTGCTGGGCAACACGGACTTTCAACTCCCTCCAAAGATTTTCTATGGGGTTGAGATCTGGAGACTGGCTAGGCCACTCCAGGACCTTGAAATGCTTCTTACGAAGCCACTCCTTTCGTTGCCCGGGCGGTGTGTTTGGGATCATTGTCATGCTGAAAGACCCAGCCACCTTTCATCTTCAATGCCCTTGCTGATGGAAGGAGGTTTTCACTCAAAAACTCACGATACATGGCCCCATTCATTCTTTCCTTTACACGGATCAGTCGTCCTGGTCCCTTTGCAGAAAAATAGCCCCAAAGCATGATGTTTCCACCCCCATGCTTCACAGTAGGTATGGTGTTCTTTGGATGCAACTCAGCATTCTTTGTCCTCCAAACACGACGAGTTGAGTTTTTACCAAAAAGTTCTATTTTGGTTTCATCTGACCATATGACATTCTCCCAGTCCTCTTCTGGATCATCCAAATGCACTCTAGCAAACTTCAGACGGGCCTGGACATGTACTGGCTTAAGCAGGGGGACACGTCTGGCACTGCAGGATTTGAGTCCCTGGCGGCGTAGTGTGTTACTGATGGTAGGCTTTGTTACTTTGGTCCCAGCTCTCTGCAGGTCATTCACTAGGTCCCCCCGTGTGGTTCTGGGATTTTTGCTCACCGTTCTTGTGATCATTTTGACCCCACGGGGTGAGATCTTGCGTGGAGCCCCAGATCGAGGGAGATTATCAGTGGTCTTGTATGTCTTCCATTTCCTAATAATTGCTCCCACAGTTTATTTCTTCAAACCAAGCTGCTTACCTATTGCAGATTCAGTCTTCCCAGCCTGGTGCAGGTCTACAATTTTGTTTCTGGTGTCCTTTGACAGCTCTTTGGTCTTGGCCATAGTGGAGTTTGGAGTGTGACTGTTTGAGGTTGTGGACAGGTGTCTTTTTATACTGATAACAAGTTCAAACAGGTGCCATTAATACAGGTAACGAGTGGAGGACAGAGGAGCCTCTTAAAGAAGAAGTTACAGGTCTGTGACAGCCAGAAAACTTGCTTGTTTGTAGGTGACCAAATACTTATTTTCCACCATAATTTGCAAATAAATTCATTAAAAATCCTACAATGTGATCTTCTGGGAAAAAAAATCTCAATTTGTCTGTCATAGTTGACGTGTACCTATGATGAAAATGACAGGCCTCTCTCATCTTTTTAAGTGGGAGAACTTGCACAATTGGTGGCTGACTAAATACTTTTTTCCCCCACTGTAGGTCCTGGATGGCAGGAAGCTTGGCCCCAGTGATACCCTCTGTAGCGCCTTACGGTCAGATGCCGAGCAGTTGCCATACCAGGCGGTGATGCAACTGGTCAGGATGCTCTTGATGGTGCAGCTGTAGAACTTTTTTTTTTGATCTAGGGACCCATGCC